GTAAGGTATAAGGCTAAAAAATGTTTGTTTAACTAAAAAAAATCATCAGGCCGATAGGTAAATTAATTAGGACAGGTAACACAAATGGTCAGTCTGGAAATTTCAATTTGAGAACTCATGATTTATTTTATCTGTCATGTTGACAATTAATAATATGCGACTAGATATTTTTCAAGACACTTCTATACAGCTTAAAGTGACATTTAAAGGCTTAACTGGGTTAATTAGGTTAACTTTGCAGGTTAAGGTAATTAGGCAAGTAATTGTATAATGATGGTTTGTTCTGTAAAGTATCAAAAAAAATTTGCTTAAAGGGGCTAATAATATTGTCCTTAAAATGTTTTTTTTTTTTTTTTTAAACTGCTTTTGTTCTGGCTGAAATAAAACAAATAAGACTTTCTCCAGAAGAAAAAAATATTATCAGACATACTGTGAAAGTTTCCTTGCTCTGTTAAACATTATTTGGGAATTTCTTTTTAAATAATAATAATAATTATGTTTTATAAAAATGTTTTTAATGTATTACTGTTAAAAACGTATAAAGCATATTTTGGCATGACATACAACGCACAATGCCTCTCCAATCAAGTTCTATAAATCTGAGTCTTTCATAATACACACAATTGTTAATGATTTACTGTCTCTCTCCTCCTCTCCCTGCATTTTCTCTACTCTCCTCGTGATGAAGAGTAGGCAAACAGCATAGATCAACTTGATTATAAATCTAAAGGTGCAAACATGTAACACCAGGTGGAAAATAACTGTTTATAGGCTATAATCACTATTTAGATGCTGTTACACATATGAACTAGGCTAAACATTATTAAAAACCCACGAGGCACTTGACTTTATATCACATTTGCATTATTTATTTTAAATGTTTCCTTCCTGTTAAAAATAAATATATTTCCAATCTGATATGTAATGGGGAAAGAAAGTTGCACGAGTTCAGCAGATGGTGGATTCGAACCGGGTTGATGATCGCTCGCGTCAAAACATGATGCCGTGCGCTTGACGAGGTACGCCACTCACGCTGTAATCCTGCTTCGCTCTTTACTCATGTTGTCTCTATCAATCAGGCATTGATGGGTGTAAACCGTGAATAGCTTTCTCCAACTAGGTGCGCTATTTGCACTTAGCCTAAAAAGACACTCCAAATAGTCTCTTTTTCTCGTCCCCTCGCAGGGGGGCCCCTGGTGCGCATGGGCCCCTGGGCCTGTCTATGGTAATCTATTCTGTGCACATTCATGACTTCAGAAGGAATGGCTTTGAACGGCAGGGGAGTAACATGCATTTTTAAAGCTATTATGCTAACGTTAGCATTTTGTCATATCACATACCGCACCTTTAAACCATCTGCACCTTTAAAACGGTTTTCAAACATTGATCAAATTGCTTTAATGTTAAACTGAAAAAGTATAACAACAATTACAAATCAAGATGAGCCAGAGACCCAAGATCAACCAATTAGATTTGAATGTTATAGACATTATGCTTTTAAAGTCTGGTTTGTACTCACGTGGTTGAAATATGATTAGGAGAAGCACAACAAAGACAAAGACGCATTCAGTGGAAAAGACGACCTTCCTCAGATCCTCCACGGCACGCTCACCATTAGCTGACAAAAGAAGATACCAAAGTGTAAATGTCGATCATTTCCAGCAGTACAAAAGTCTGCATTTTAAATGTGTTGGTTCTGTGCTAACTGTGCTAACAAAATTATTGTGTAAACGGCCAGTATACAGAAGCCAATCATTGATCGCTATTAGGGGTGTCAAAATTAAATGTTTCTTCGGTGCACCGCGATGCAGACGTGGACAATTTGATATTGGTTCAGTAATATTCATAACAGGTTATTATGTACTGACGTCATTTATCTCATATGCGCAATGTCGTATATGGCGAAAGAGGCGAGGGCGAGTAAATAAAACGCTTTTACTACTTAAAACGGTACATAATTATGCACAGTTCAACTGCTCGTGAGTTTGCTGGAAAGTCTTTCATTGACATTGAAGTAGGCACTGCATACAAGCTGCTATTTCACCAACTAGGGAGAAATGCTGTAAAAATCCATCTCTGCCTCTCTCTTTTACTTTGGACATTCCCCCTCGTTTTGCCAGTTCCCGTGAAAGGGTAGGGGTGTCCCAATTCTCTTTAGCTTGAAGGTCTAGGGCTAAGAGCAAGGAGTAGATACCCTTAGATACACTTGAAACCAAGGGGTAAGAAAATTTCCCAAAATACACCATCCACAGCTGCACCCAGAAGTAAGGAAAACCACAAATTGGTATTCTTTATCATTATTATGAATTTTTACAAGAAACAAGCACATGTTTTAAAGGGCACCAATGGTGAAAAATCTACTTTTCAAGCTGTTTGGACAAACATATGTGTGTATATAGTGTATAGACCATCATATTGGGGTGATATAAACACACCCAGTCCTTTTTTTTCAATTTAACAACATAAAAACGGTGGACCAATTAGAGCGGTTTTCAGACCGACCGCAACTTTACGTAGGAGTGCGGTCCCCCCGCCCACCGAATTGATTGACAGCTGCACGCATTAACATGTTCTGGTAGTCACGTGTATAATCATGTCAACAAGACCAGACAGACATACGCAAAGCAACCGGGAATAAAAGGTCTGTTCTGTTTGCTAGGATCAGCAATCATCATCAAATGTGATTAAGAGTGAGTTTCACATGTTTAAAGTGTTTTAAAACAGTGCACGTGTGTAATTAATTACAGCGATTTACTTCAGCTTTACTTCATCAGCACAGCCGCGTGTCAGAACAATTATAAAAGAAGACGCTTCAATCCCGGTTTGTGGAAGTTAAATCAGGTTTATTTTGTACATTAACATCACAGATATCCACACAGCAGTGGTTAGCCTGTATCCTGACACATTTGAGTGCAAAAACAGTGCTAAGCGCGCTCTGTCTGTCTGTCTGTCTGCCTGCCTGTGTGTGTGTGTGTGTGTGTGTCAGCTGCGGTGTGTGCGCATGCGTGAACTTTGTAACGATATTGCGTGTGACTCATCAATGCAACTGCACAACAAATACTGATTAGTAAAGTTCTTACTGTAGTATTTCTCACAAACGCTACGCGAGACCTTCTTCCTTTAAGTCTGTCTGTTGTCTGACGCAGCCGAGGGAGGAGATTAAAGCATGCGGGAAGGCATGTAGAAACAGTAGGCGTGAAGAACTCGCCTTAAAGGCGCAGTACGACAAAACCACCCCCTCCGGAATTCAGTATAAAACAGCATCTTGTAAAAGGTATAATGAAAAATCTGATGGGTATTTTGAGCTGAAACTTTATATACACATTCTAGAAACGCAAAAGACTTATATTAAACCTGAAAAAAGGGGTAACCTAGGTGCCCTTTAATATATTTATAACCGTGTCATGTTTTTATCGTCATGCTTAAAAACAAAACAAAAAAAGCTAAAAAAAATAAATAAAAAAAAACGATCAATTTTGCGATCTATAATCAATAATCATAACTCCTGTACAGCAGTCCCACAACATTCTGACACTCAATGACACTCGAATACCCTGTCAGAAAAGTCTAGTGGCCGCTATAATGTTAATGTTGTTTTATTGTGTTTAACTTACATACAGTAGATGAATATGGCCACTGTGTAAATGTGCAGTATAGTTATGATCCTGTTGGGACATTAGATCGTTATGATAACATGATATATGCCTTCAGCTATTTCCTGAAGATAAATACCAAAAAATAACACAACTGGAATCACTACAGCAGTCGCCATCTTCTGATCTCATATGAAGCAAGAGATTGCGATGACATATGATGACGTGTGCAGGTGCTGTAGTGCTGTCCCAATTCTTAGGTGTAAATTTTGAAGCCCTTTCCCCTTAACACTCGTTTTTAAAGTCCAAGGGGAAGGAGTAAGGGTACAAATATAGAATTGGGATTGGGCCTAAGATGATGGAAAGTACCCACAGTTGTGTTATTCATTTTATCGGTTGTTATCTGGGAAAGTATCTGGGAAAAGGAAAAGTCATTCTTTCCATTTTCAGTATGGTTGAACTTACCCATCTTACCCAATATGGTAACTTACCCATCTTATAAATCAGTTCTGTCATCAGTGCAGTGGAGTTGACAAAAGGGACAGCCACTGATCCAGTGAGATACACAATGCGTCTAAAAGGAAGCTCTGCAAGACAGAATAAAGTTTATTACCCAAATGAAAATGGTTGAAAATTAATAGGAATTCAATTCCAACTTCAAATTACAGCACTTTTCAAGCACTTTCAAGGTGCATCTTTGTTATTTCAGCACCTAACAGCCACGGTAAATTACGTTAATATACGCTGTATGTACTTTTTTACATTTAAATCCATTGTGCTATTTAAAAAAACACAGTAGGAGATTTAAGTTAAACTGTTGTTTTATTTGTTGTTGTATGTTGTTGTAATTAAAAAAAAAATTTTCAGTTATTGGATGAAGTGTCTTTTTAAGTTTGTTCTCTTTCTACCTAAGATTGTGTTTGGGTGCAAGTACCAAGCTTTCATGACCAGTCGTTCATGATATTTCATGTCCACTGCTATTCAAAGGTCATGTAACAAATTAAATCCTTAAAGAGTAAATTAATGAACTGTTCCTAAGTCAACTGTTTCGAAAATCAGTAGTCAATATTACTTTGGGTTCGGACTAAGGTACTGTTTTAACTGTATGGCAAATGTCCCACATGTCAATTGGTTTTCGTTATGTGCGAATGCATTTTAGCTAAACGGAAAACTACTCCATAAGATAACGAATTATTATGAAAGCAATGCAATTTCAAGTTCAAGTACTTTATCCAAAATACAAGCACTTTTAAAACCTTGAAAACACTATATTAAAAATCAAGCATCTTCCAGGATTTTCAGCACTCGTAAGAACCCTGTAATTCTACTAGAAATTAGGGCTGGGAATCTTTACGATCCGATCTAATTCTGATCCAGGGGCTCAGGATCCAATTGTAAAATTATTCATAATCTACATTTTTCCTTCTGCTGTACATTTACATTATAACAACTTCACATTTTAACCAGAAATAGAGTTTCTATGCTTTTGTTTAATGGTTTGAATCTCTGTATAGCAGAAATGGCATCTTAAAAATCTTTTATTTTATTGCAGAGTTATTTAGGACGAACAAGATTGAATTAAAAAAAAACAGCAGATTACCCGATTGTAAGAGCAAATATTAAGTACAACATGTCATACTATTTTTCTTAAAACATTGTTTATGACAAATGTTAAAGGGCACCTATGATTAAAATCATCTTTTTGAGGCTGTTTGGACAGAGCTGTGTGTAGGTACAGTGTGTCCAAAGTCATATTGGGGTGATTTAAAGACAAGTCTCTTTTTTTAAACTTCCTGACTCTAAAATAGAATCAAATTCCCTCCCATTTTGAGGTCAACCATAACCTGACGTAGCAGTGCTGTTTCCCCGCCCACTAATTTGATTAACAGCTGGGCGTGCGCAAAGCAACTGAGATTAAAAGATCTGTTCAGCGCTCTGTGATCATCAATCATCATCAAATGTGATCAAGAATGAGTTTTACGTCTATAATGTTTTAAAACAGTGCACATGTGTAATGAATTACAGCGATTTACTTCAGCTTTACTTTATCACCACAGCCGCATGTCAGTACAATTACAAAAGAAGACGCTTCAATCCCGGCTTGTGGATGTTAAATCAGGTTTATTTTGTACATTAACATGACAGATATCCATACAGCAGTGGATATTAACCTGTATCCTGTCACATTTGCTGTGCCAAAAAAGTGAAAAGTTAAACACACACGCTGTGTGTGTCTCTGTGTATATGCGTGAACTCTGTAACAACTCATTGACTCAATGTTGCAGAAAGGCTTGAATTAACATCACAACAAACACATCAAATAATCATTGGGAAAATTTCTACTGTGGTATTTCTTACAAACGCTACGTGAGATCTGCTTCATTCATGTCTGTCTCTGTGCTGTATATCTGACGCTGAAATGATCAATCTTTTTAAAATATTTATAAGTGCTGTTTAACAGAGTGACGATTTTTCTCAACACATATTCAACATAGTAGTTTTAATAACATAGAAGTTTCTTTTGTCTTTGCCATGAATCATGATGGCATTAAATAATATATTACTGGTTTATTATTTTGCAACAATAGCAACGTTTCCATCCCCCAATTTTTATGTGCATGTTGGATGCGAGCATAAAAAACGTATAGGGATTGATGGAAACGGCAAGATGAACATACATTTTGAAAATGTGCATAAAAAACATGCGCACAACTGAATAGGATAAACCTTTTATTCGATAAGAAAATAATTGCATAGAAAAGGATGGAAATACTTTTACTAAACAAATTCCAGTATGCGCATTAAAATGAGAAATCATGTGATGATAAAATGTGAGTGAATGGATAAACCAGCAGGCTGAGCACATTGTAGAACATCTGAAATGTTGTTTTGATCATTCTAAAATGCCTTAACCATTTCAGCATTAGTATTATTACATTATTAATGACCTCCAGAACTGTCAAGAGCGTCAGTGCTTTGTGTCAAACAAGTTTATTGCGTGCCGGTTGTGTCTTCTGAGGCACAAATCCTTTATTAAATGATGAAAAGATTGCAGCATCTCCTACTGCAGCAAATTCCATCTTTAATGTTGATATTTGGCAGCAGATAATCAGGACGAGATTATTTTGTTTGCTTTGACTTGTTGGATGGAAACTCTCCATTATTTGCACGTTTTAAATGCAATATTCCAGTTTTGCGCATCAGTTTAATTCACATCTTTTGATGGAGACAGACCTACTGTGAGGTAGGCCTAGTTCCCCTTCATTAACATCCCACGTTTGCAAAACATAAGCTGCGATCCTTTACTTATTACATGTACATTTAGTCATTTAGCACAGGGGTTCTCAACCTTTTTCACTTCGAGGTCCACCTTTTTCTTTGAAAAATGTTTTAAGGTCCAAACTGATTGTCTAGAGAAAACGCTTATTTTAAAGCTTTATTTATTAGCCAAACGTTTATTTTGCCTTCTATTATTCCCTTATTTTTCTACATCATTTTATTTAAAAAAAAAAACTGAAACATTTTGCATATTTATAATAATAATATTTTAATATTTAAGAAAAACACACACAGGCAGGTTCAAAGCTCCTGAATTCTTTACTTCAGTAAAGGAACCTGACAGGACTATTGGGGATGGAAAAAAAACTGCTGATGCTTTGAATTAGACTGACTTCTATTCATCTATGGATCTATATCCATTTAAAAAACAATCTAACCCTAAATGTAAAATACAGTAAAAACCCTCGAAATCTGTTGAAACATTAGTCTGAAGGTGGTTTGGTTTGTAGCTGGACATTATTTGCGTCAGTTATAAAACACTTGCAAGGCGTTAATTTGGACAACTATGTGGATATTTTTAAGTGTTCACACAAAGAGAGCACACACAGTTTGTGTATCAACTCACTTGTGCGACTCTGATACAGTACGAGTCGCACATGTGAGGCACGCGCGAGCTGGTTATTATAACTAATCAATGTACCTTTACATTTGCATGACTGTTTGCATTATACAACTGAGAGCGTAGTCCCAGTTGACGCACAGCAGTCGGAAATTTAAGCAACAGTTATGTCTGTAATTAACAGTGGGGCTGTTTTTGAGTCCGAATTCGCCTATTCAATCCAATCACAGAAAACAGGAAATGCCATTACTACTATAATTTTAATATGACATATTTAATAATGAAATCAAATAATTATAGTATAATATTTAAGTTAATTTTAAGCTATCTCGCGGCCTACATGCAGGATCACTGAGGCCCACCGGTTGAGAATCCCTGATTTAGCCGACGCTTTTGTCCAAAGTGACTTACAATTGAGATTTGAGCATGTGCCTGAGGATCTACACTTGCGCACGTGTTAGCAGCAAATCGATTACTTCGTCCCTTGTTGGGCTGTAACCACCAACCTTTCGGTTAACAGTTGAATGTGCCAACTGATTGCGCCATAGAGACTTTACTCATAATGGAGTATGCCGTAATGGTAACATATGATTCTGTTGTCATCAGTGTCTATGCATCAGGTTAACACACTCAATAACCAGCTGTGCACTCTTCCAGCAATGGCCGGCTGCCTGAGAGGGGTCTGGCTGCAGGCTCGGTGCAGTGCAATCTGAGCTGCATCCAATGCTTTTTACTGCGCTCACCTAACCCCACGCCTAACCCTACCCGTCACAGTGACGTCACTCACTCCATTGAGTGCATTGAGTCTGACATTGCATTGCTGAGTGATGCAGTCTCAGCTTGCATCATAAAGGCTGCATCCAGATACTATTGGGCTGCCTTGACTCTTTGATTCTTTGTTTTTTTTTTTGACATTTTGTTTAGTGTTTTCTGTCCAGCCTTCACATATGGGCCAATTTCCCCAACACCAGAAGTAATATATATATATATATTTTTTTTTTTTCAGATCGCGAGTTTGTACGTGGTGACTGGTGCTACTGATTAGCAATAGAGCTATTTTACTGATTTATCACAAGATGTGATAAAAATAAACACTAAAAAACACTAAAAAAAGGCACTACAAAATGGCACTACAAAATGTAAAAATTTGAATTGTATTTGAATGATTTGAATGAATTTGAATGAAGATTTGAAACCAAGTACTTTTTTTTATCATACAAACAGCAAAAACCTTGAAGATGTTGGAGGGAGAAAAAGAGGTCACAGATGATTTATCAACCCAAGCTCATTCTGAAAACGTAGTCCCGCGGACATTTCTGGAGACAGCGGAATACGTCCCGGGAGGTACGTACTGCTGCATTTATTTTTTTTCAAGCGAATGCTGCGGGGCGGTGTGACACTGTTCCCCTTTCGCGCTCCCCGGCTGACCGCTTACCTCCTTGTGGAGGGCTTTCCCGCTGCAATCTGTTTGTCCACTCAGCTCACCGTGTAACGTCGGCAGGCTCGAGAGAAGCGGAGAGGAGGAGTCGACCACGGCGACCGGTTTCGAGTCCGGGGGAGAGCAGTTCCAGCAATCAGGTAAGACAAAAACAGAATCCCAAAAATTAAGTGATTGAGTTTCGTGACAGGGTGAGAACGCGGTGAAATCCGAAAACGCGGTAGAAAAAAAATCAGGGCTTTTCTTTTATTGGACGACTTTTGTAAACTGTTGCTCGGGTTCAGGGAAGCGAGCGGGCAGGCGGGTCGATCGGTGAAATTGGTTGGGTTGAGGGAAAGAGGAGGTCAGCCGATTGGCCGATCGCGCAGTCAATCATCCGGTCAGTCGGACAGCGGCCTCTGGCGGGTTGACGCGAGAACAGCGCGGGCGCGAAACGCGCTCGCGAGAGACGTTCGAGATGAGAAAAAGCGCACAACGGCAGCCTTTAGCGGATTCGCAAAAACAAAAACTGCAGCCGTACGTACCCGCCGGGACGTATTACGCGGTCTCCAGAAATGTCCGCGGGACTACGTTTCCACAATGAGCCCGGGTTGTGATTTATAGTGGAGAACCAATACTTTACCCAGGTCACCGAATGAGTGCTTCAGGACAACAATTCCCCAGAGTACATGAAGAAAGGCAGCTACGCAGTACCACCCAACACAATCTACAGGAGAAAAAGAAATGCATGCATTTGAAGAATGAATCCAAACTAACTTTTTGTTTTTAAATGAAGCCATTGTTTTACCTTTTTCTTTTCCCAGGGCTAAAAAATATGAATAGACCTTTATTGCAATCATCACAATCATGAAAAAGAGCCAAGCTGCTCTCCTGAACGAGCGTAAACCTGAAAAAGTCATATATAAGAAGTTTGTTTAGTACATATACTTAGTAGTTACAGTTTTTCTCAGTGACTTCGGTGCATTTCTTACAACCCTATTTACATTTGCACAACAGTTTACATGGCAGACTTAGCAAGTGGAAAAACTGAGCGTTTCACTAAAGAGAAAACAGTTAAAAAGAGCATCCACAGGCGAAAATGGGAGATGAGCCTTCTCATTATTTACATTTACATTTAGTCATTTAGCAGATGCTTTTATCCAAAGCGACTTACAAATGAGGACAAGGAAACAATTTACACAACTATAAGAGCAACAATGAATAAGTGCTGTAGGCACGTTTCAGGTCTGTAAAGTCTAAGAAAGAAAGCATTAGTAATTTTTATTTTTTTTTTAAAGAGTTTTTACAGTTAGTGGTATATCCAGAGAGGCAATTGCAGATTAGGAAGTGAAGTGGAGACTAAATAGTTGAGTTTTTAGTCGTTTCTTGAAGACAGCGAGTGACTCTGCCGTTCTGATGCAGTTAGGGAGTTCATTCCACCAACTGGGCAGATTGAGCGTGAGCGTTCGGGAAAGTGATTTCTTCCCTTTTTGGGATGAAACCACGAGATGGAACCATTTACTTTCACTTTCACTCTCTCGGATAAGGAAACGTGTTGTACATAAAGACATCTATTAGCCTATACTAAATTAATTTTGTTTGTTAAGCGCAAAGATTTGTTTCAAAACTATTTCTAAATTCAGTTCTAATTTCCAGCAAATGAATAAATGAACAATAATAACGAAGTACAGTCAAACAAGTGAGTTATATCCTAATACACATGCTGTGCCCTATATGGTCTAACACCTGACAGGTGGACTAATCTAAGCTTGTTTATGAATCTTTAATCTAAGCTTACATACTTGATAAACTGTCCAACGTGCACTGCTCTCTGGAGCTCAGATGAGCGCATGACAGCGTGTGTGCCTGTGTGGTCACGTGGTGTGCATTTTCAGCGGACGGAGGGCTGTTCAGCAATGCTAAGTAAGTGCATATACATAAGTGTGTATTTGGATCATTTTTGATCTAAAATGGCATTTTAACACTAAGACATATAAGTGTTAACGGGGCCTAAGTGTGTATTCTTCACGAGCGGGTTTGTGACAGGTGCGGGGTGGAGGATCGGCGATGCTGGCTAAGCATTGTGTTGGCTATCGACGATCGACGATGTCATCGTCTATCGGCCCAACCCTAATGAGTGCAAATGCATTTGCTATTTAAACAGCATGGTGCAAAGCGTAAAAATGACTCTTGCTTCGAGCTGAAACTAGCAAACAACAATTGCATCACACCTTGCGCCACATTGTGCCGGGTGTATGATAGGGCCCTATAGATGCAGTCACTGTTCAGATGTTGAATTTGAGTCAGGTTTGTCTGGTCAACTTAATTTCATTTGTAAATATACAGTTCATTATTTCCTGGGGTCCGTTCTTCGTACGTGGATTACTCAGTTAGCTGGATTTGGATATTGACGATTTGACACGATCCAGGATCGTTTCGTTCTTCAAAGCTGATCCGAGAGTTGTTGTCATAGGAACAGTTCTGCTAGGTTAAACCTGATCGGGAGCAGGTTCAATTCATATAAACAGGATTAGATCGGCTCAGTTCAAGCAAAGATAATACAGAAAGTATGTTCCGAATTCTGATATTTTCTTACAGTAGTAGTTATATACACTTGGGAAAATGGTACATATTTTTAAACTATATATATAAAGTTATAGTCATTAATAAAATAAATAAAGTTATATATATTAATAAAACTTATGCAATCTGCACCCTTGAAATGAAAGTACAAAGACTGCCACCTGGTGGTGCAAAGAGAAAACTTATTGATATGAACTTTTTTGATCGCTTTAGTACAAATTGTGTATAATAGAAATGCAGAATATGTGACTTTTTTTTAAAGCAATAATACATTTATGCAGTCATAAACATGTTTTTATAGTTAATATGCCAGTGATTTGATGCTTCACAAAAGTTGCAGACACCTTTACCAATGAATTTACCTATGAAAATGCTTTTGTAAACAACCAGTTATTCTTTACACCGATTAAAAAACGGATACTATTATAAAGAAAATCTTTTCTAAATGTAGAACTAAATACATTGATTTGCATTGAAATACATGATGAATACTCTTGACACATGACAGTGTAAAGCCTGCAGCTCACAACAAATGTGGAAAGTTCTTGCGTGTCATATTTAACAAACCGTTTACTGCTAATTTGATGTAATTTTGCTCACATGGATAATTGAATATTAATCAGATGATGTCATTACGCTGCTGTGCCGTCAGCCAATCGTTGCATTGCTGATCATGATTTCGAGGATCGATAGATCTGTCCTTCACAACACACGCAGCGATCTCAGATCAGTTTATCCAGACATTCTAATCTAATTCGCGAACTTGTTTGAAGAACCAAATTAGCGAGAGATCAGTTATCAAGATTAAAAGATCCAGGATCTGCCAAATCATCTTAGATCATTTAAGCGAGGTACGAAGAACGGACCCCTGTCATTCAGCAACACATTCCAAAACAAATTGTGACAGGAGCAGTTTAGGACTAGTAATCAGGCAACTGGTGAAATAATGATGTGATTTAAAACAGGTGATGTCAACAGGTGATTGTAATTATGATTTGGTACAAAAGCAGCATCCAAGAAAGGTCTAGTCTTTTAGGAGCAAAGATGGGCCGAGGATTTGATTGAAATGTTTAAAAACAATGTTCCTCAAAAAAAGAGAGGAAGACTTTTGGATATTTCAACAGTGCAGAACATTATTAAAAGATTCAAGAAATCTGGAGGAATTTCAGTGTGTAAAGGACAAGGGTGCAAGCCTAAACTGAACAACCGTGATCTCCTATCCCTCAGATGACACTGCATCAAGAATCCTCATTCATCTATTAGCCATATCACCACATGGGCTCAGGACTACGGTGGCAAACCTTTGTCAAGTACCATAATACGTAGTTACATCCATAAATGCTAGTTAAAACTCTACTGTGCCAAAAGAAAGCCCTATTTTAACAGTGTCCAAAAGCCCCGTTGACTTCTCTGGGCTCAAAGGCATTTGAGAAGAACCATCACAGAGTGGAAACGTGTACTCTGGTCAGATGAATCTGTATTTCAAGTATTGTTTTTGGGAGAAATGGAATTAACAACTAAATAAATACTTACATTTGAATTTTTCCACACAGGCTTCATTCCAGTTATATCTGGTCAAAGTTAAGAACAGTGGAAAAACCCCAACAACAAAAAGTGCTGCATATGAATAAAACACACACAAACACAGAGCACAATTATTCTTCAGTAGTGATGTGATCACCCTTCAGGAAATAACAACAGAGTTTAGCTGGTTTACTTTTATTAATTTCTCTTTTTTTTTGTAAAAAAAAATAGTGTTTTCTTCAAATAATGTACACAGTGCTACTGTATCTTCTCTGAAATATACTATGCATGTATTTAATTTACAGAATATCTCATGTCTGTCATTTGTTTACAAACAGATATTAACCCAAAGGATTTATAATGATTTCTTACCTCCGCCAGAAGCACCGAAGGCATAAAAAAGGAAGATTAGTTGTAAAGGAGGCAGAACCTCATGACCAATGTCAGACACCAGGTCCAATACAGCACGCATGTGGCCATCTTTATTTCTAATGAGCTCAGCCAATACTGCATAAAACAATTCATAACATTGTAAAAATTCTACATTTCTAACATTTAATAAAGCAACACAGGGCCAGAAAAATATACCGAACTGAATACACTTTGAGTTAAACGGGACTATATACTGCATTGTTTAATAAGTTTTTTTTTCTCTGATGTTTACAAAGTAGGTTTGTGGCTTAGGTCATTTAAAACAAACAAAAAATCTCTCCCGAATGTATATATATTTACACACACATACATACATACATACATACATACATACATACATACATACATACATACATGCATATATAAAATTAAATATATTTTATGTATATGTATATATATATATATATATATATATATATATATATATATATATATATATATATATATATATATATATATATATATATATATATATAGTGTGTTACACCTTATTGTTAAGAATCATATAGAAATACTTACAGAAAATGATATTGAAGATGCATATCAGAATCATTATTCCAAAGAGTACTGTGATCAGCACTCTGTCATGTTGATCATATCTCAGACTTCTTTGCCAAAAAGATTGAAAAAGAACTGGCACAAGAAAGAAAATACAATTACACAAATGCTGTCGGTTGAGAACCCAAACACTGCCTTTAAAGCATTGTTATTTCAAAATAAAATCACTACGATAATATGGCTGAAATTAAATCATGCCCACCTGAATAAATAACATTTGTAAAGAGGGAATACTGTAGATGAACAACGCAGTGCATGGCTATTCTACGATCACCTGTAAAACAGAAAAGGTTTTAATTAAACCAAGTACAAAATAGATACTTTATAAAAAAAAAACAAAAAAACAAGAACCCTGAAAAGCTAGCAGAAACTAACTTTCGGAAACACATTTTCTTATGTGTATATTGACAAGGAGAGGTTTTTTCTAGAAAATTATACTAATGCCAATGGCATTATACTTATGCACAAACCTGGGAAATTTTGTGAATGTGGAGATACGTATAACAGCAGAAGAGGCCTCAAGAAATAATGAGCACAGCAAGCAACGCTCTCATTCAGAAATCCTACACGATAACAATCAGAAAAGGACAGTCATTTTTAATCAGTAATGGCATTGGCTGGTGATGGCTCGGTTTGATTCTCTGATACAAAACTATGACTATTTATTTTTTACAATTAAGCTGAACTGATCAAACAAGGGTAATGTTTTCAACTCTTTACACAATCCCTGCCAGATGGATACTCACCTTCAATAACACCCCAAAACATGAAGGCAAAAAACATAATCAGGTTTGGCACAGAAACTACACACATCTGAAGACCCAATGCTGCATCTATAGAGAGGTTTAGATCAGAGAAATTTGTCATCATTACAAACTAAAGCCACAACTTTTTAACAAATTAGTGCTGCTAAAATAGTATCCTGGCTAATGCAAAAACAAGTATCTGTTTGCATATGTGTGCTGTATATGTATTTGCATGTAAATGTTTATATA